TAAAAAGACTGCATACTGGTACTGTGTTTCAGAAGTTGAGAACATCAACTTTTGTAGGATGGAGACTGTGCCGTCACACCCAGACACTATAAAGTTAAAACTATGATGTGCTTCTCTCTTTATCCGGGTGAACCACGGGTGCCTTTTTTAGAAGCTCAGGATTCCCAGCAACTGAGGCCAGTCCAGATTTGGACTGGCCTCAGTTGCTGGGTCCAGTTTACCTGTCTGGCCCAGTTTACCTGTCTGAACGGATTCTCCCCTATGAACCATCAAGGTTATTAAGATCTTCCGGAGGGGCCCTGCTCTCAGTCCCACCACCTTCGCAATCGCGTTTGGTGGGGACGAGGGACAGGGCCTTCTCGGTGGTGGCTCCTTCGGCTTTGGAACTCCCTCCCACTAGAGATTAGATCTGCTCCCTCCCTCCTGACCTTCAGGAAACTAATAAAGACCTGGCTTTGGAACGTGGCATTTGAGGACTGAATCTATAACCTTCGTCCACATGGAAGGAGGAGGATGAACTGTGATTGTGACTGTGACTGTATTGACGACTTGGCTTGGGTAATATGATGATGATGTTTTTATTAAATAAAATAAATAAATAAATATTGTACTGATATTTTAATTTGTAATGATGATGCACTATGTTGTTTTTGTATATTATTGTATTTGAACACATGTTGTGAACCGGCCTGAGTCCCTCGTTCGAGGTGAGAAGACTGGTATATAAAACTTCTAAATAAATAAATTTGAACATCAAACAGAACATTTATTTCTCAAAGTCCTTGACAAACTTGGCACAGCTTGATGAAGTTACAAACACAAACAGTCAATTTAGGAAACCATATAAATCAGGGGTTCTCAACCTTCCTCATGCTGCGAACCCTTAATACAATTCCGCATGTTGTGGTGACCCCCAACCATAAAATTATTTTCCTTCCTACTTCATAACTGGAATTTTGCTACTGTTATCAATCATAATGTAAATATCTGATATGCAGGATGGATTTTCATTCACTGGACCAAATTTGGCACAAACCCAATACGCCCAAATTTGAATACTGGTGGGGTTGGGGGTGTGGTGGCGGATTGATATGGTCATTTGGGAGCTGTGGTTGCTGGGATTTGTAGTTCACTTGCAATCAAAGAGCATTCTGAACTCTACCAATAATGGAATTGAACCAAACTTGGCACAAAGAACTCCCATGACCAACAGAAAATACTGGAAGGGTTAGGTGGGCATTGACCTTGCATTTTGGAGCTGTAGTTCGCCTACATCCAGAGACCACTGTGGACTCAAACGATGATTGATCTGGACCAAACTTGGCATGAATACTCAATATGCCCAAATGTGAACACTGGTGGAGTTTGGGGGAAGATAGTCCTTGACATTTTGGGAGTTGTAGTTGCTGGGATTAGTAGTTCACCTACAATCAAAGAGCATTCTGAACCCCACCAACAACAGAATGGGGCCAAACTTTCCACGTAGAATCCCCATGACCAACACAAAATACTGTGTTTTCGGGTGGTCTCTAGTGACCCCTCTGATACTCCCTCGTGACCCCTCCAGGGGTCCCGACCCCCAGGTTGAGAACCACTGATATAGATGTTCTTTGTATCCTTTTTCCTTCAGTTGCCAAGTTAACTTTCCCCCAACGGTAGAAAAATCCTGGGATCTTTTACCCTAACCCTGAGCTGCTATCTTTCAGAAAGAGCAGGTCTTTCCCTATCCAAGCTCAAGATTAGTTTTGGAGATGAAGTAATGGAGCCTCTCCCAATGGCAGAAAAATCCTGAGATATTCCCTGCCCCAGCGCTGAGCTACTATCCTTTAGAAAGAGCAGGTCTTTCTCGATCTGAGCTCCGCACCAGTTTCAAAGGTGAGAGGGTAACCGTACTCACAATGGCCTGTCTGAGCTGCCTAGCTTGGCCACCAGCACATCTGAGGCTTTTTCTATACTAAAGAAGGCAGGAGAGCTTCTCCAAAATGGAGATCTCATCCCCAGGAAAAAGGGCGGTCTCTGGACCAAAAGGATACATTTTAAAACCAATAACAGGAAGAGGCTTGTAGGCTGGCTTCCAGTCTCTGTTAATGTTTAACTTTCAGGGTGCTGCTGAGATTGTAGCAACCCTGGGGGGAAATGCAAAGGGATGCCATTTTATGCAACTAAGGGGCAATGCAAACCAAGCTCCTGGAAGACGGAACAGAGACAGACCTCCACTTGGAGCTCTTGCTGGCCTCCAAACAGACCTTCAGCTTATATATTGCATACATTAATATATCCATTATACTAAAATTGCAGTTGTCCTTCTAATTATGTTCCGGTGAAGGGAAGAGAATGGCTCCAGTAATAGATTATGGGTGTAATAAAATTTATTTTATTTTTATTCATTTATTTCATTTCTATCCAGCCTTTTTCCCAGCATGGACTTTTAGGCACCTGAGAGGGGGTATGGATATTTAAATTGTTGCTGTTTATTGTTGGAATGGAAAGGAATTCTTCTGGGATTTTTCTACCACATGTGCCAAAATGCCTGATTTGGAGTCCTGTGAATCTTGGCTTAACTTCTTGGGCTATTCGAGTTGCTGCTCTTTCTCAGGCCAAAATAGGTTTTGGGCTGACCTTGACCAGTAGTGTGTGTTGACTCTTTCTAACGGTTGCCAACATTCTGGTCTTTCTCCCATATTATTTATGATGTGTTGTCTAGTGTCTGTCCAATACTTACCAAACTTGTGCTGATCATTTTCAACACGATGTATGATAGTGCTTGCAAACCCAAGAGAGGTGATTGTAGAAAGTTAAGACTGAGAACTTGATAGGCAGAAATTTTGGAAAGCATTAGAAGTTCTGTATATTTTTGATGTTGTATCAATTTGAACCGTTTATATTTGCTGCGTGTCTTGGAAAACTTTTTTTTAAGACTTCAACTCCTGGAGTCCTCATGACGGTCATGCCCAATGACCATTTTAATTAAAGGATTCTATAATCTAAAATATAACCTTTTTAAGATCAAGGGGGGGGGATGTCGATTTGTGTGCGTTAAGAACATTGTGTTTAAGTGCAGGCAAAGGTCTTTAGGCGCTGCACCCAGTGTGCCGATCACCACTGGGACCACCTTAACTGGCTTGTGCCAGAGTCTTTGCAATTTGATCTTTAAATCCCCATATCATGTCAGCTTTTCCAGTTGTTTCTCTTCAATCCTGTTTGTTCCATCTCCCAGGAGACTGGTTTGCCTTGCTTTTTTAGTTGCTTGGAGTGGCTGCCCCTTGCCTTTCTCCCAGGAGCTGCTGCAGCCTTGCAAAGCCTGGAGTTTAACAGCCAAAGGCAGGAAAAGCCTGTCTCTTTGCAATGATTGGCCTAGGGAGCAACTCTTTGAGCTCGCTCCTGCTCCTGGGGAAAGACTTCCATTTTGGAGTCCTCCCTGCCTGTTCAGTTCTGAAGAAGGAATCTGATGTGCTGGTGGCCAGACCGGTAGCTCCGACAAACCACTGTAAAAACTATTGAGAACAATTGAGAAATTAAGATAGACAGAGAAGTTTATTGAGAAGAATTGAGCTATAGTTAGATAAATTATAAAAGTTATAGAGTATAAAGAAAAATAGATATTGAGCTTTGAGAATTGAGTTTTATAGAGTCTTATAGAGGGAGAGAGACTGCATTGCCTTATCTCCAAGGCTAATCTGGAGCTTAGATAGATAGGGAAAGATTTGTTCTTTCTAAAAGACAACAGCTCTGGATTAGGGTGAAGGATCCCTGGATCCCTTTGCCACTTGGGGAAAGGCTGACTCAGTAACTGGTGGAGAAGAGAAAGAAGAAATATCTATTTGGTTTCATCAATTGACTGTTCTGTTTGCAACTTTGAGAAATAAATATCCTTTTTTGATGTTCAGAACTTGTAATAGACTCAGTTACTGAGAATCTCAATCTTCTCAAGAAAAGCACCGGCAGTTTGCCCAGACATAGGGAACAGCACACCATAGCTTTGTTTTTTAAAGCGTATGGATGTAACGGCACACTGTTGTCGCCTGGGATTGCATCATCGACGATCCATACTCCCCCCCCCCCCCCCCCACGATCATGAGGTCGGAAATATTGTGCTCCAGAACTCTGTCAGTCTGAATCCAGAAGTCCCAGAGTAGTTTGATGTGTTCATTTTCTGTAATTTTTTCCGGCTTGTGATCCCACCAGTTTTTTGTTGCAAGTAGATGGTATTTGTGGCATAAGTTGCAATGAATCATTTTATCTATGCTGTTGTGCCTCTGCTTATAGTCTGTCTGGGCGATCTTCTTGCAGCTGCTGAGGATGGGATCTATTGTTTTATCTGCTTCCTTGCCCAGTCTAAACTTGGGATCTGCCATCGACTTTTCTATTATTATTATTATTATTATTATTATTTTATTGTCACAAAAGCACAAACCCCTCTTTGGCCAACTCTGACCCCCCCCCCCCCCAAATTCACTTCCTAATTGTATTCTTTCTAAACACTGTATTTGGAAAACCTTAATAAAATTATTTTTTTTAAGAACTTGTTAAGGAGGATAGCACGAATGAACAACAATCTTTTTCAAAGAGACAACTTATTAGCTCACTTTATATTTCCCACATATAGATTAGATTTATCTGCAAGACAAAAGTTTAAAATAGTTCAAGTGACGAGCCTGTGAATGTTTGCCATTTTCTGCTTCCAAAGTGAAAAATTGCATTTACAACAGAAGATACAATATCCAAGATACAATACTCAAGATGATGAGCGTTATCAACAGATCTATCAGAAAACGGACGACGTAGGCTATAATCCAAAATACATTTACTAGGGTTAAGGTCCACTGGGCATAACAGGAATTAGTTCAGAATAAACATTCTCTGAAGTGTTGTGTTAGGTTTGTGTTAAGTATTGCAGAACAAGTTAATGTCTCTATATAAAGCGGAACAGCAAAACTGGTTTTGTTTTAACTAGTGTGTTGGTTTTGCATTTTTAAATTTCTCATTCAAATTGGTTTCAGCAATTCCCGACCTTCTGCATTTTCCCCACAACTGCAAGGAGATACCGCCACTCATCAAAGAATTTGTTGGTGTAGGACTCACCTGGTAAGACTGGTTTCATTGCATGCTTTATGATTTTTATGTTTTATGAATGAGAATCTCTATAGCAGTGTTTCTCAACCTGGGGGTTGGGACCCCTGGGGGGGTCATGAGGGGGTCTCAAAGGGGTCGCCAAAGACCATCAGAAAACATAGTATTTTCTGATGGTCATTGGGATTCTGTGTGAGAAGTTTGACTCAATTCCATCATTGGTGGAGTTCAGAATGCTCTTTGATTGTAGGTGAACTATAAATCCCAACAACTACAACTCCAAATGTCAAGGTCTATTTTCCCCAGACTCCACCAGTGTTCACATTTGGGCATATTGAGTATTTGTGCCAAGTTTGGCCCAGATCATCATTGCATGAATCCACAGCACTCCTCTGGATATAGGTGAACTATAACTCCCAAACTCAAGGTAAATGCCCACCAAACCCTTCCAGTGTTTTCTGTTGGTCATGGGAGTTCTGTGTGCCAAGTTCGGTTTAAATCCATCGCTGTGGAGTTCAGAATGCTCTTTGATTATAGGTGAACTATAAATCCCAGCAACCACAACTCCCAAATTACAAAATCAATCCCCCCAACCCCACTAGCATTCACATTTGGGCATATTGGGTATTTGTGCTCAATTTAGTCCAGTGAATGAAAATACATCCTGCATATCGGATATTTACATTACGATTTATAACAGTAGTAAAATGACAGGTATCAAGTAGCAACGAAAACAATATTATGGTTGGGGGTCACCACAACATATGGAACTGCATTAAGGGGTCACGGCACTAGCAAGGTTGAGAACCACTGCTCTATAGACTTTGCAAGGTGTGTAGTATGGGGCAGGGGCAAAAAAATAAATTTAACAAATTCCTATTCTCAGATTTGAGCTTCCAGCTCAAAATCTTATTGCAGCTTCTTAAAGCAAAAATTATTTTTAGTAAGCATACATTATGACCACTGCTTTTTGTAATGGGAATAGTTGGTTGACAACATTCCTTTAAAAGAAAAGTTTTATAATGATTTTAATAATGAGACGCTGAGGATTTATGTTTTTATTGGTTTTTACTGTTTCATCTGACGTTATTTATGCTAATGTTTTAATTGTTTTTATGTTTTTGGGGGCATCGAATTGTGCTGTTTGTAAACCGCCCTGAGTCACCCTCAGGTTGAGAAAGGCAGTATGTAAATAAAATAAATCAATAAATCAATAAATAAATTTGATGTCATCATAGAAGCTTTTAAACTATATTTCTTAAGGTGGCTTTAACTTACTCGTACCATAGTGCATCTATAGTTTCAATTGATCTCTATGTCCATGGATTCTGCATCTATGGATTCAACTATTAACAACTTGACTATGTCATTGTATATAATGAAATTTGAGCTTCCATTGTTTTTGGTATTCAGAGGAGTTCTGGAACCAAACCCAAGGGCCCCGCCGTACTACTAACCTTATCTTGGACATGCACCAACCTTAAAAAGAAAGTTCAGACTGGTAAAGAAGATTGCACTTCTAAAATAGTAAAACCTAGGGCAGTGTTTCTCAACCTTCCTAATGCCTCGACTCCTTAATAAGGTTCCTCATGTTGTGGTGATCCCCAACCATAAAATCATTTTTGTTGCTACTTCACAACTGTAATTTTGCTACTGTTATGAATCGTAATGTAAATATCCGATATGCAGAATATATTTTCATTCACTGGACCAAATTTGGCACAAATGCCCGATACACCCAAGTTTGAATACTGGTGGGGTGGGGGGATTGATTTAGTTGTTTATGAGTTGTAGTTGCTGGGATTTATAGTTCATTTACAATCAAAGAGCATTTTGAACTCCACCAATGATGGAATTGAACCAAACTTGGTACACAGAACTTCAATGACCAACAGAAAAAACCAGAAGGATTTGGTGGGCATTGATCTTGAGTTTTGGAGTTGTAGTTCACCTACATACAGGGAGCGCTGTGGACTCAAACAATGATGGATATGGACCAAACTTGGTACAAATACTCAATATGCCCAAATGTGAACACTAGCGGAGTTTGGGGAAAATAGATGTTTATATTTGGGAGTTGTAGTTGCTGGGATGTATAGTTCACCTACAATTCAAAACCCTGAATTCCACCAATGACAGAATTGGGCCAAACTTCCCACACAGAAACCCCATGACCAACAGAAAATGCTGTGTTTTCTGATGGTCTTTGTCGACCCCTCTGACACCCCCTCGCGACCCCTCCAGGGGTCCTGACCCCCAGGTTGAGAAGAGGGGAAAATTTGCAAAAATAATATTGATTTTGGAGAAACAGGTTCACTCTTTTTTTAGCCCACTTTGTTTTTAAATTGGTTACATAGGAGGAGGAGCCTACTATATCTTCCCTCTCCTTCTACCTTTCCCCTCTGACTACATTCTTGTTCTCCTGTGATTACCAAGTTGGCACTTTAAGAAAAAGCTGAAAACCATTTTTGATATGTTTCCATGTACAATTGAAATAAAACATGGGAGTAGAATTAGTATTGGAAAGAACTGACTTGCTAAAGCTGAAATTTGCTTGGTGGAATCTGTATAAATACATGTTGGAGTCTGGCCCAACCTTTGCCATCTTGACCTCTTTTTGATGATATTTAGCCACACATTGCCTTTGTTTTCATCTGTGAAATGTCAAAATATATGCAAATCCAGATGAGGGACTAGGGTGATCATGGGTTTGGCAAGTCTTTGTGTGGAGTAAAGGTGGTCCTGGAATGCATCTCCATCTGAAAACTTTGTGTGACGATTAATATGGACAGCAAGGTATCATTGTCCTTTGTTTTATTACCTGACTTCTCTGACTTAGTCTGTACTTGACACTGACAGCTGAGGCAAAACCTAGTATGATCTTGGCATACTAGCTTCCTAGTATTATAGCAGATGCTGTTATGATCAGCCAATGCATCCTAGATTCTAGGCCAAGCTTAACATGGGATTCTATCCTCATTGTCTTTCTTAGACTTTATTCCAGAGCAAACTCAGGAAGGAATAGTCCCATCCTTACAATTTAAGTTGCCATCCAATTCACAACTCAGATGTTACTGGTCATGATCAGATTTTCCTGAATTATAATGAATGTCATGCTGAAATGTGATGTCCTTTTGATGCCTTCTTTGCCACTCTCCACCTATTCTGATCAGACCTGATCCAAAGGTTGGAGAGCCTTTCGGTTGCAATTCCCATGACGCAAAGATGCCCAAGCATGGCACACTAATGACATCCTCTGTATGCCAGTGGATGCTTTTTGCTAATTCAGATTCCACATTGGTGTCTGAACTAATTATGAATGGGAACTGCAATTAATTTTCCAAAAACACACATTAATTACAGCACCAACAGCTTCTGTCCATCTTAGTAAAACTACATAAAGTACCTTCTGGTGGAAGATCAAGGTAAAAATATTTGGAAATATGCAGTTAATCATCTTAAAATCATATCAGGATTCTTGGAGGTCTGGCTTAAATTCCACCTATTAACAGGGGCGGTTCAACCCATTATGCAAAGTAAGCCTTTGCAGTATAGTTGATTTTGCCCAGGGGCGCTCTTGAGGCACTTCTGGGGGAAAATAGACCTTGACATATGCGAGTTGTAGTTAGTAAAGGTAAAGGTAGTCCCCTGACATTAAGTCCAGTCATGTCTGACTCTGGGGTGTGGTGCTCATCTCCATTTCTAAGCCGAAGAGCCAGCGTTGTCAGTAGACACCTCCAAGGTCATGTGGCCGGCATGACTGCATGGAGCGCCGTTACCTTCCCGCGGAGCGGTACCTATTGATCTACTCACATTTGCATGTTTTCGAACTGCTAGGTTGGCAGAAGCTAGGGCTGACAGCGGAAGCTTACGCTGGTCCCCGGAATCGAACCTAAGACCTTTCGATCAACAAGCTCAGCAGCTCAGTGCTTTAATCCACTGCGCCACTGGGATGTATAGTTCAGCTACAATCAAAGAGCATTCTGAACTCCACCAATGATGGAATTGAACTAAATATGGCACACAGAACTCCCACGACGAACAGAAAATATATATCAGTGATTGGTTGGGGGGGGGGGGGGGCCAAAATACTGTTTGCTTACCATTGAAAATTACCTAGGGCTGCCTCTGCCTATTAATGAAGTCTACAATATGAGTGTCTATTGATTTTTAATACTTTCTTTATTAAAACATTTATATCCCACCGTAGATCTGAAGATCTCACTCGCTAAGGAGTCAGATCTAGTTGAAGAGTAAGATCTGTTGATATCAGTGGAACTTAGGAATGATTTAGGATTTTGTTCTAAGATGGACCAAACAGTGAAAGGAAGACATTTCCATGCTTTGGTTTACAGTCTATTAAGAATAAATAAATATGCAAAGAGTGCTAACTATTTGTTGTTTGTGTTATCCAACTGATGGTGACCTTTTTAACTTGAATTGTTTTTAATATTAATGATGTTTAATACTGTTTTAATATTTGTATATTTATATTTTAAATTGTATTGTAATCCTTTTAATTGTGAGTTGCTTTGAGTCTCAGTATGGAGAGAGAAGATAGGATATAAATAAAAATTATTATTATTATTATTATTATTATTATTATTATTATTTTACTGACACAAAAGCACAGTATGTCACAGCAAATGAGATCTCTATGCTGGATTTCGCATCACAAAATCACAAGTCGAACCCTTCCCAAGCGTCTAGGACTGTGTGATGTATTTTCGAATGATGCGCACAGATCCAAGTCAATTCGCCTTTTGCAGTTGACAGATCGTGATTTTGTCTATGTTTATTGTTTCCGAATGCCGGCTGAGATCTTTTGGCACGGCGCCCAGTGTGCCAATGGCCACTGGGACCACCTGGACTGGTTTATGCCACAGTCTTTGCTGTTTGATTTTGAGGTCCTGATCGTGGCTGAGTTTTTTCTGTTGTTTTTCCTCAATGCAACTGTCACCCGGTATGGCGACGTCAATCATCCAAACTTTTTTCTTTTCCACAATCGTGATGTC